CGACTTTCATCACGATCAAAAAAAAATACATTATTGAACATGAAGATGAAAAAAAGAAACCTTTTGTTATCTTTCAGAGAGCAAAACGATGATATTCATAATAATAATAATAATAAAATCCCGTTTCCTAACAATCCGTCAACATTATCCGGAGCAATTGGTTTTGAATGACTAACTACTACCACGTTAAATCATATCAATTTTAATATGAGTTCACACTTACTTTGATTCCATTTCACTCTTTCACCCCCCCCTCTTTCCTATACTCCCCCCGCCTAAATTATTTCACACGGCTGTTGTAAATAGAGTTAAACACTCGTCTACCTCAAAACCTGAAATAAGGTATTTAAAAGAAGAAGAAAAGAAAGAAAGAAAGAAAGAAAGAAAGAAAGATACCACACGAACGGGGTTGATGATATAACTGTCAAAAGAGAGAGAGAAAAAGAGAAAAAAACAAAAATACCGAGAATAAAAGAGAAATGAAATCCATAAGAAAAACTAGTCATGTGATCTCTAGGTCGTCTGCTGGGTCACTGAACTCGGGCCTTCTTTTTTTTTTTTTTTTTTTGCTCAGCGGAAGACAGTTATAACACCAGATCATTGCCCTACAAAAAAAAACCCATCTTCTTCATTCGAATTTAAAATATGATAAATATATATTTATTATTATACGGTGTCCACAAAAACTTTCCTCTCATCTTTCCCCCGCCCCCGTGAACTTTAACCTAATAATAATAATAATAATAATTTACCTATTTTTGTTTATTAAAAAAAATAAAAAATAAAAAAAATTACTCTCAAATACAACCGTCGACGTAAAATTTTTTTATTCTTTCAATTAATTTCCAACGTTATTTTTATTTTTCCCTTCTCTTGAATGAACCGAATGAGCGAGCGAGTGAGTGAATGAATGAATGAATGAAACTCGTGGGAATCAATTATACAAATTTCACTTTGAAAAAAAAAGTGCACAAGAGTAAAAGTACAAAAAAATATAAAAAAAAATAAGATAAAAAAAAGTTAAAAAAAAAAAAAAAAAACATTAATTGATGAAAATTAATATATTAAGGTTTTTCAAGCACCCACATCGTCGACTAATTCTCGTATCACAAAAATGACACACAATTGACCCCCACATTATTCAAGTCGAGCAATGATGATGACTTACATTTATTTTTCCTCTCCTCTCCTCTCCTCTCCTTTTTTTTTTTTTTTTTTTTCCATGAGATTTTTCAAAAGTTTTAAATTGATCGCACGCACGCACGCACGCACACGCACACGCACGCACTCGAAAAAAAAAAAAAAAAAAATTCCACGCTGGAAAAATGACCGCAAAATAAATAAATAAATAAATTCATTACGCACAACGTCATACGATTAATCCTCCTACTCCACACGTATTATTATTATTAGGTATTACATATTTTCCCCTCCCCACCCCCCGCTCTCTATCGAATCATCACGTTCAAATTAGTCATTAAACACGATGAACACAATAAATAAATAAATACATAAATAAGACTTGATCACAATTATGAATGCCCTGGAGTTAATAATAACGTACGAAATAAACGAAAAATTATGTTTTATTATGTATTTATGATGAATTCATATTCGATATCAATAGAAACAGTTATTTAATATAATCTGACTAAAGATAATTAGAGATTAGATAAAATGTAATTACACGTAATTTATATTCTTAAATAAAAACAAAAAAAAAATAGAGAAAGAAAGACAGAGACAGAGAAAGAGAGAGAGAGAGAGAAAGAAAGAGAGAGAACATTCGATTGCACAATTGATTTTTTTTTTTTACTATGTACACTACTTAACGAGAAATACTACTTATGCATACATAAATGAATTTACAATTGAAATTGAAAAAAAAAAAAAAAAAAAAAATTGACGTAATTATTATTATTATTATTATTATTTCTCTTCCGGTTCCAGACTAATAAAAATTTCCATGCGCGTAAACTTCCTGAATTTTTTCATTAAATCATTATTTGACCAATTATTCATCGTCAAAATAAATAAATAAATATATATATATACATAAGTAATAAATTCTTATTTTCGATCCCATTTTTTTTTTTTTTTTTTTTTTTTGGGTGTCTGTGTGTGTCATTTTAAAAAAAACCGTAGAAAATTTAAGAATATTTTTCCATAGAGCCGACACAAAACTAATAAAAATATTTAAAAAATTTTTTTTTTTTTTTTTTTTTTTTAAATATAAAAATGATATTGGAAAATAATTTCAATCATTTATTATTAAAACTCACCATATCAATTGACGACATTTCTTTTTTTCAAAATAGAGAGAAAGAGAAATTGTCAACCAACCAACTAACTATCACCCTCCATTGTTAATAGAACCGTATCATTTTCAATGAAGTTATTTAAATATTTGTAATATTTTCTCAAATGAAAATATGTCATTTTTATCACAATGCTACATGGCCAATCACAAATGATCAAGTAAGCGTTTTTATAAAATTTTTACACCTTATCAAAATTATTAGCTTTGTGAAAATAATTACTCGACTGTAATAATACCTAGTTTTGGGTTAAAAACGACAACGTTTCGCTATAACGTGTAACAGGTACCATATTGACAACGCTTTCAACTTTTTTTCCCCCCCCCTGAGAAATTTTTCAATAATTAATAATAATTTAAAAAAAAAATGATAATAAAAAATCACACATCATCATATACACAAATTATACAATCTAGGTAACACAGAGTAGATAGTACGAGTAAAACTGCAATTTAAAATATATATATATATATACCAAAACAACAACATGTAATAATCATTTTCGATAAAAACCTGCAAGACCTGCAAAATTAAATTGAATTTAATTTTTATAATTGAAAACATTTATAAATCACACTCACATCACCATTATGATGTAAGTCGAATGATATTTGTGTGCAGGAAAACATATCGAGTGAAATAATACTTGTAAACTCATAATTAGCACATTCTCTTTTAAATTTGCTGTGAATCATAATTGCGAAGCAAAATAAAAAATAAAATAACCAAACCATGTATATTTACTTTCATTTAAAAAACCTATTCTTTTTCAACCTATCAAATTATGAATTATAAAACTGCTTTATTCGATTGATTTTAATTAAACAAATCGAAAGTTCACATTCATAATTGCTAACATCTTTTGAAAAAAATTATTCGTAATGCTCATGCCCTACGATTACTTTTTAACAGCCCAATAACGAATAAGATAAAACATTTTTGTCCATTAATTGAATGTACATTTTCATGTATCAAAGTCATGCCTTGCTCGAAAAATATATCATTAAATTTTTATCTTTTGCCCAGTTTGATTTTGTAACAAACAATTATCATTTATTCTCAAGTTATTAAAAATTCTTGAAAATGAAACGAATAATGTAAATCATTTTGAAACTCGACATTCATGTCGAGTCACATTAAACTTTTTACCTACATACACAACATTTTCCAAAGAAAAGAAATAAATCTTTTTTAAAATAATTGTAAAACCTGACCAATTATTCAATTATCAAGGAAATTAATAAGAAAAAATGAAAAACTATTTTAATTCCCACATGAAAATTTTCAAGCAATTAAAATTAAAGTTTGTAAGAGTCACAAAAAAAGCAGTTTTTTAAAAAAACACATTTACACATAATAAAACGTTAAATAGTTGATCTAAAAAAAATTTGCTTGAAATTAAATATAGAATTGCATAAATTTGCATCATAAAATGAATTGCTTTAATTTTGACAGTTGTAACGTTTAAATTTCGGCAAATTAATTATACATAGTTTCATTAAAATGTGTCATGCGACTTTTAACAAATTAATTTAATTAATGGTCTCTATTAAATATCATAACAGAAAAGAAATCTATAAAAATTTTTAAATATCTTTCACAACCAAATGAATCAAGGTCCATCCTGCAGCCTAAATGCATGATGCGTTAACAAAGCCATGTTAGTTAAAAAATTAACTTACTTGGGTATTGTCTTGAATTATCCGGATTTCCAGGATACGCAGAATAATTCCTAGTTGGGTATCCCTGGGTTTGCCCGCCCTGGTGCTTTCCTTTTTGCATGCTTACGAGAGCGATAATGATTAACTTTTAGGCCTCATGAGACCCTTCAAAAATTTGTTATCATTATTCATTTACACAGTAAAAACATGCACTCTAACTTACAAAGTTTATTTATTTAGAATATACAATGTTTCTTCAGCATTTTTTTTCATTTTTTAAACATTACATCTTTCGATATAATGTGGATGTTTATAGATAAAATCTGTAAAAAAAAACGCCTATTTTTAAGGCAACGCCGCCATGTATTTTTTGGCTCGTTCGAAATATATCCGATAGGTTATCAAATTCCTCGTGGCTTACAACCTGTTCTGCAGCACACCAGAGCAAAGCACTATGTCATTGTACTATTTCACGTGTTTTCTTTTAAACTAATTTTTTAAAACAATTTTCAGAAATACAGTTAACACTATATTGCAAAACTATTTATTATATTGGATTATACCACTTCGCGAAAATGCACGCCATTTTTGTAAACAACGAATATGAGCGCACTCAGGAAGCGCTCTAAAATATCACTGCCTCCTGTATTTTAAAAAACGTTTACATTTAATCATAATATAATTATGCACTTAAATATTTATTATAAAACACATATACTATTATTATTATAAAGCAAATTCTTCTATTTTTCATGTCTGTAAAAAGTCTCTTGAAGAAATGACAGAGTACATTGTAATTTTCAGACGTCTATTTCAGTAAGATGTTAATCATTTATACTTATAATAATTCTATTTACTATAAATTCGTTAAAGTAAATGCACTTTATCTTGTACTGTATCCTATAAATTAAATCAATTTAATTATAGTTAACGAATAAGATTTTATTTATGCATTTAATAATAAATTTATTAAATCTTAATAGTTTTCGTTTATTGTCTGCAGATATAATAGCTAGCAGTAATGACAGATCCAAACTTGTCAAAAAATGTCAGCGAACTTGCTGGAGTTGGTAGCTCAGGTTTTAGTAATCAACAACCTGATGAAAGCCAACAACAGCAACCTCCTGACCAAGTCAATCAGAAGCAAAGCAATTTGCTTAGGATTCAACAAAGAAAACAACAAGTATATAATTGGCCCAATCATAAAAAATTATTGAAATTAGCTGTATACTCTGCTTGTCAGGCTGAAGAATGCCTGTGTACAGGTTGGAAAACTACTCCAGCTCCTACTCAAACTTTAGCCAGCAATGATACACCTTGTAGGAATTGCACCCATATTTTGGGTAATGAAATCTTAATTGCAACTTAAAGTTGAAATGTTGCAGTTTGTTCAACATTGATATTATAATTCAAAGTATTATATGTTTAGAACAACACATATCTCATCTTCGAATGGTTCCTGATCCAGAAATTAATAGGCTCCTCGGAATGGTTGTCGATGTTGAAAACATTTACATGTCGATGCAAAAAGAAGAGGATCCTGATACAAAAAGAGTTTATTTTTATTTATTTAAATTACTTAGGAAATGTATAGTCACAATGACAAAACCAACCATAGAGGGTCCTCTTGGCCAGCCACCATTTGAACGACCAAGTATAGCCAAAGCCGTCACAAATTTTGTTTTGCACAAATTTGGTCACTTGGCCCAAAGGGTTTGTTTCAAACTTAACAACAATTTAAGCACTAAAATGATCTTTTAAAAAACTAATTTTTGTACTTTCTTTAAGGAATGGCAAACAATGTATGAGTTAGCTAAAATGTTTCTTCACTGTTTAAATAATTGGAATTACGAAAGTCCCAGCATTAGAAGGAATGTCGCAGCTCCTGAAGCAACTTCTGCATATAAAATTAATTACACTAGGTATATTTTTAATTATTGAGAACTTAACCTTAATTAAAAATCTTATTTGATGCATAAATTTTAATTTTTGTTTTCAGATGGCTAGTTTTTTGCCATGTTCCTGCTTTTTGTGATTCCTTGCCTCATTTCGATACCACAGTAGTATTTGGCAGAAAATTATTAAGAGCTGTTTATAAATCTGTTTGTCGTCAGTTAATTGATAAATGTCATGCTGAAAGAGACAGAATGCAAACAGAAAATAGAATTCTCATCCTTACTCATTTTCCTAAGTAAGTTTTTCTGTCAATTTTTAAAAAAGTTGTTTCGTAGTCTAGACTTGATTTATCGTTGTACCAAAAGTTTTAAATGAGTATTTGTTTTGAGATGCAATTAAGATGCATGAATATTTCGTAAATTATGTTTAAGGTTTTTATCATTATTGGAAGAAGAAATTTATGCTCCCAATTCCCCTATATGGGATCCTGAGTTTAGGCAAGTTCCACCTGCACACATACAAGCTGTATTTGATGCGAAAGCTGCAGCAGCAGCAGCAGGACGAAAAGTAGGAGAGTTTGAAAAACTAACTGCTCCTCCTAATGAAAAAGATAATTTTACTACTTTTAACGTAACCCCTGGAGTCGGTAGAAAAGGAACATCGTAAGTTCAAAGATTTGTTTTCGCAAATAAATTTAATTTCGAATAATTATTATATTTTAAAATTCTTCATCGACAGTCAAAAATCTGATGGTGAAAAAAGATCAGGAGAATCGACATCTGGCCGACCAGAAAAGAAACGAAAACAAGAAGAATATGTTGATGACGTTTCGGAAAATACCATTGCCGAAATTTTGGCTACCATAGAAGATGGTAAAGGAAACGCTGGCCCCCAGGTAAAATTAAAAATATATATAAAGGATGATAAACAGTTAGATTAATTATTGTTAAAAATCATTCCAGGCTGTTTTTCCGGAAAATGCACCGAGAGACGAAGCGGCCAAACAAGAAGAAGCTCGAGGAATAATACAATTTCAAGTTGTTGGAAATTCATTGACACAATCCGTTTCGAAACAAACAATGCTTTGGCTTATCGGTCTTCAAAATGTTTTTTCTCATCAGTTACCACGAATGCCGAAGGAATATATCACAAGATTGGTATTCGACCCGTAAGTAATGAAGTCCCCCCCCTCCCTCCCTCCCTCTCCATAGCATTTTTTAAAAATATCAAATTTTTATCCCATTTAAGAAAACACAAAACTTTGGCTCTTATCAAAGGAGGGAGAGCAATCGGAGGAATATGTTTCAGAACTTTTGCTTCTCAGGGTTTTGTCGAAATAGTATTTTGTGCCGTTACGTCGAACGAACAGGTCAAAGGTTACGGAACTCATTTAATGAATCATTTAAAAGATTATTTTATAAATCACAACATTTTGCATTTTCTTACATTTGCAGACGAATTTGCCATCGGTAGGTGGAGAATTTCTTCGTTGTCAAATTTTAAACGTAATATCGGTTTTTTTTTTTTTTTTAATGAAAACTTTGTTTGTAAATTTTTTTTTTGTTTTCTTCGGGCAGGTTATTTTAAAAAGCAGGGTTTTTCCAAAGACATTAAATTAAATAGAAACATATATCAAGGTTATATAAAATATTACGAAAGAGCAACCCTCATGCACTGCCAGTTGAATCCGACCATTGTTTACACGGAGTTTACTGCGATAATAAGAAAACAGAAGGAAATCGTTAAAAAAATTATCGAACAAAGAAATCAGGAGGTTCAAAAGGTTCATCAAGGTTTGACTTGTTTTAAAGAAGGAGTGCGTGGCATTCCAATCGAAGCCATACCGGGAATCAGAGAAACCGGTACGTGAAATCTCATTGATCTTATTAAACATCTCATTCATTTATTTCATTCATGTTTTTTTTTCTTTTTTTGTTTTGGAAAAGGATGGAAACCTGCTGCCAGGACAACGAGAATCAGTAGAGTTACTTCAGAACCAAACGATCCGGATACTCTTTGCAGTGCACTTACCGGAGTGTACAACGCAGTCAAAAATCAAAGTCACGCATGGCCATTTTTAAAACCCGTCGATAAAAATGAAGTACCCGATTATTATCATCACATAAAATATCCCATGGGTGAATTAAGTTTTTTTTTTTTACGAATTTACATTGAATATTTGATTTACACCGAAAGAAAATTTTATTATTATTATTATAAATCGTTGATATTTCAGATTTGAAAACGATGGGAGAAAGATTGAGGAGCGGGTATTATCATTCGAGAAGATTATTCATTGCCGACATGACGAGAGTTTTTACAAATTGCAGATTGTATAATTCACCAGATACTGAGTATTATAGGTGTGCAAATAATTTAGAAAAATATTTTCAAACGAAAATGAAAGAAATAGGACTCTGGGACAAATAAGATTTTATTTATTTATTTTCAAATTGTTAAAAGAAAAACATTAAATACCCCATTACGATATTTTATCGATTAATATTTATAATCCAAGTGTTTTTTTGCGGTTATTGAAAAGTTTTAATTTCAAAAAAATTTGTAATTCGGTTAAATCGAATCTGTGTCAAAAAAAAAAAAAAAAAAAAAAAACGTCAGAAGTTATATATTTTGTAGTAAATTTTAATTTTGCTTTGCGGAATGAAAACAAAAGAAAAATGGAATTAAATGAAGAACAAAAGAGTTAATAATAATAATAAGTTATTTTAATACACCGTGAAAAAGTAATTTTTAATGTCGATGCAATAAATTATGCAACGCTTAACATTGCATACAATGAATGTTGTTGTTTTACTACACTACAAAACGTTTATTAAAGTTGTAATAATAATGATAATGAATTACAAAAACCGCTTTGGTTTTTACATAATAAATTGATCAATAAGAAAAATCGATATTGCTCCCAATAAATTCGATTAAAGCATTTTATTATTTATAGATTTGAAAAAAATAAAATAAAATAAAAACACAGTAAACAATATTTTTTTAAATTACAACTTTTCCAAAAAAAAAAAAAAAATGAAATAGTAATACTTATTTATTAAAAGGTAAAAATTAAATTAACGGTTTATTTGATATTTTGTCAGTTTGGAAATGTGTGCCTTTATACGTAATAATTTGCTGCGGGTAAAATTTTGCTGCGAAACTATTTTCTGCGCGCGCCATTTTGTAATACATGTTCGAAGACGAGTTAGAACCGTTATGAAATTAATCGTTGTGATGAAAGAAAAAAGAGTGTATAGTTAACAGTAGTTTTTTAAAAGATGAAAAAATATAATAAAATATGTGAGTTTTATTTCTAATTTAAAGTATTCGTTCTGAACGTTTGCAAAATAAATAAAATAAAAAAAAGAGGTAAGTGCAAAAAACCACAATCGAGATCATTTGATGTTGGCACGCTAATGTAATTATGTATTAAAATAATTATGCAAAGCCAACCGGGGATTTGGTTTCGGTTTTTTTAATAACCAGGATAAATTTTTAATCTGACCTTGTATTTAAATCAAATCTCCTGATTAATAATAGGAAAATAATGTTTCATGAATTGGAAACAGACAAAAACAAAAATTTTTTTTTTTTATTCAAATGCTTTATTAAGTACTTTATGACAAAAGCCACTCAAACATTCACATCCATACAAAAAATTTTATTTATTATTGATTGGGGCAAGTAAAAGTAATAAAAATTAAGTTAAAGAATAAGTATTTAAATTCTATTTGTTAAATATCATCTTATTATACATTAAGACATTGAGTTTGTTTGTTTCTGTACAACTAAAACCTTTCCATCATTGTTTTCTTTTTATGTAAAAGAATATTTAAATAAGATTTTTGAAACTTTCAACAATTCCCAACATCTTAAAGTAATTTCTAATAATTAAGAGAAAAAAAATTGTTTTGTTTTAACAAAATTATGTGTCATTGTACAGTTAATAATATTAATGTAAATTTTTTTCAATGTTATATCACCTGTCCAAGACCTATGATAATAATCAATTGTCCTTCTGTATTATTATTATTATTATTCTAACAATATAATGTATAATTGAAATTATTGGCAATTATTAGGACAATAATATTCATACAAAACAACCAACAACAGACACAATAAAACATGTCATAAAAAACATAATAATTATGTTAACTAGGTTAGCCTTGCAATTATGAATTTAATAAAAAAATTTTTTTTCTTTTACTTTCTTAAAGGGAAATTTTTTTTTTTTTTATTATTCATTTTACACAATCAATAATAAAACAAAAGATTTATTATTATTATTATTATTAAACCATAGAATCTGTGGTGTAATTTTTTTTTTTTTAAACTTTTACTGGTAATAATTTTATTTTTATTTATTTGTTCTTAAATTTCTAACGGTTTTCCCAACGCCATTTTGCTAATCATTTGTCATTAAGTTTGGATTTTGCTTTTTGTTTTTTTGCAAATAGAAAATATTTATTTATTTATTTATTAGTATCATAACTCAACATTATTTTGTTTTATGTATTTGTTTGACAAATTTAAAACATAAATTTTTATTTGTTTGAATTTGCACATCAGCAAAAAGCAATTAATGTCCTTTCATTGTTCTGCCACTGACTCATGTTATCGACTGAGAGTTATTAACACATAAATATTTATTTATTTTTGTTTGACTTGTAGAAAAGGAACGAAAGGTTTAATTATCGTTTTACTTTCTAACAACCATTCATGTGATAATAAAAAAATGCTGAGAAAAACAATTTGACGTACTCATAATCAAAATGGGTGGTTGGTTTGACGTGTGTTTAAACAAAACAAATTATTATGATGTTAAAAAGAGGAGGGGAGGGAGAGGAGGGGGAGGATTAATTTTATGTGATTTTATTTTATTTTTTAAAATAACAACAAAAAAGATGAAAATAAAACTATTTATTTATTTCATTAATTCTAACTAATTTTGTTTTAAATGTTTAGCTTTTGTATAAAATTAGTTAAAAAGTTTACCGCAAGAGGGTGTTATTAAACCATCCTCCATAATGAACTCAAACTACTAAAAATTTTTTTTTCAGGTATTCAAGGTAAAGTACTTCCTACATTTTGCTAGTTTGTTAAATTACATTCAGAGTTGAAAGTGTTTGTTTGTTTGTTTGTTTGTTTGTTAAACAGTTAAGTGAATTTAATAAAAAAAAAAAAAAGAAAGAAACATTTATTAAATTTTTCAACAAAGTTAATATTTCATCATTTAAAAATGATATCATCAATGGCGAGTAAGTAAATTTTTTTTTCTGGAGAATTTTTTTTTTTTGTTTTTTTTTTTTTTTTCACGGTCGAAATTATTCAAAATGGTCGTAAAAATATTTAATTGTATGAAACGTCATTAAATTTTTATAATTCCATAAAATTTTCCAGATTTTTAAATTTATTTTTCATGGAACGAATCATTTTTGACAGAAGGATGAGGAGGAGAAGTAAAAATTGTACAGTTATTTAAATTGTAATTAGTTAAATTGTCAAGTTATTTAAATTAATCGAATTAATCGATATAAATCGATCGATATATCGATTCCTCACAATTTTGAAATTATGTAAAAATTGCGAAATAATTTTTTTAGCGGTCATTCGTACATTTAAAGTGGGCGATCGTTATAAGCAGAAACCATAAAAAAATAAAATTTTAGGCGATTATGTGTAAAGTTGTCATTACCATTACTGGATAAATCAACCGTGAATGTTTTCTTATTAATATATATATGTTCCCTTGGGAATTTTTTGTTTAAACAAAAAAAAAAATTATTATTTTAACTTAAGACCCACGAAAAATTCATTGGGAGGGGAGGAAAAAAAATTGTTAATATTAATGACGTAATCAATCAAATTAAATAATAATTATTAAATGGTGGGATTTAAATAAGGAATTATAATAATAATAATAATAATAATAATTATTATTATTATTATTATTATTATTATTATTGTGTGATTTGGAAAATTTCAATCTAATGCGGTGTAACCGCAATAATTTGTTTGAGTAATAATTATTATTATTATTATTACATTTGTATATTCCGTTACTTGATATTTTTTCTCATTCCTTAGTTAAAAAAAAAAAAAAAAAAAAAAAAAAAAAAGAAATCAATTATGGAAACCTGGAATTTCAAGGTATACGTAATATACACAATCACCACCACTATTACCACCGACACCACCACCACCACCATACCTTGTTTAAGGCTTTTAACCTTTTAAAATAAAAGGTCGTAAACTACTGTTTATAAACATTGTGATAAACATTTTGTTGTTGTTAAAAAACAACTTTCTCTCCAATTTTTTTTTTTTTTTTGACTATTTCCCTAAATAAATGTCGATCGTTGTCAATTAAAATAATAATAATAATAATAATTTTGTTTGTAGCAAAATAGAAATTTTTTTTTAATGACGACAACAACAAGGTTGCGACATTTTTCATTATATAAAACGAATTTAATTAAATTAATCGAAAGAAAAAGTTTTTTCATCATTATTTGATCATCATCATCATCAACAACACCACCAACGTTTAATATTTATATAATAATAATAATAATGATGATGATGTTTTTTTTCGTGCAGGAAGAATTTTGCAACTTTTACTACTCGTTTTCGTGGTTGCCGTTTTCGTAGAATCCAAAGACATGCTTAGAAAATCCATAGTTTTCGATAAGAAGACACCGGATGTTTTTTACTGTCCACAGAAAAAACCAAAAGGCATCGATAAAATGATAGTCAAAGCGAAACCGTTGAAAAAATTATGCGAATTCGAAGGGCAACCATTGCCACCGGATTATAAAAGCGATTGTTATAACGACGTAGACGAAACGGAATATGCATGCAAAGAAAAACATAGAATAATGGTACGAAATAATAATGATATTAACATACAAACTAATAAAATAATTAATAATAATAATAATAAAAAAGGATGAGGAGGAAAATGATAATGATAATCACGTGGAAAATTTTCGATTTGATCATTCGTCGTGGAAAGAGAGTGTCGAGTTTTGCAATATTAATTTCACTTTTTTTTTTTACGCTTTTATTTATTTATTTATTTTAATAATAATAATAATAAAAATAATAATAATAATAATAATGATAACTAATCGATTGATTTACAGAAAAGAATGAAAAAATTGGAACGGGATGATATCGAGAAGACGGAAACAGACAGAGCATCTAGATCACGAAGAATTTAATAAGAGAAAGAGAGATAGAGATAGAGAGAGAGAGAGAGAGAGAGAAAATTTTTTTTTTTTAAACAAAGTTTTATGCCGACATGGTTTAATTAGAAGAAGAGGTTATTAATTATTAATAATTTTTTTTTATATTTTATTCTTTCTTTCTTTCTTTATTTATTTGTTTCTTTCCCATTTTTCATTGTTCTTTGTTTTTTCTTTCACACTTTCACAAAATGTTTACAAAAAGGGAGGGGAAGAGGAAGGGGGAAGAATTTTTCCAACACGTCATCTAATAAAGAATAAATCAAATGTTGACAATAACAAAAAAAAAAAACAAATACGATAACGATATTATTAATTATATAAATAATAATAACAAAAAAAAAACAATTGACAATTTTTTGCATGTAATACTTATAACAAAATAAACACACAGAGGAGTAACAAATAAAAATAATATGGTGTGAACCGTAGCAAATTTTTTTAATTTTTTTACAACCTTTTGTTAATAAAATAAACTCTCTTAATAAGACATTTATTTAAAAAAAAAAAAAAAAAAAAATTGTCGTCACACATTGTCACCATAAGAAATTGTTTTGTTTGTTTTAAAGTGAAAGTTAAATAATTATATAGAAACAATCGGGAAAAATAATTACAAAACAAATTATTAATTTTTTTTTCCCTTTAATTTATAAATCGTATTCGATTGTTGTTTGTTGTATGCGTTTGTTAATTTTAATTTCGATTACAACAATTTAAGTAGTCATAGTAAATCTGATTTAAATTTAAAACATTTTATAATATTTTGTAAAAAACAAACAAAGAGGAGGAAAACAAAACAAAACAAATACTTTACGTTGATGCTTTGTTGAGCATTTTCTTATAATAAAAAAACCTTTTTTTTTAATTTTTCTTTTTTTCTTCTGCTACAAAGACAAATATTCTTAAACCTTTTTTATCTTTTAAAAAAATTTCATATTGAAAAATAATACTTTAAGTATTAAATTGCATGATAAAAATAAAAAATGAAAAGTAATTAATTTTTTAAGCTTTATCTCTTTTAAGCTATTATTATTATTATCATCTATTGTTTATTTAAATGTTTGTAAATTGACATTTAATTTTTAATTTTTCAGATGAGAATGAATCCACCTGGAATTGAATTACTTAGAGAAAATAAAACAAGATTTATTAAACACAGGAGCAAACCTAAAATAGTTAAATATTTATAAATAAATTAATTTAATAACAAAAACAAACACACATAAATCAACAATTTGGACAACCATTTTACATATCCAGGTGTATAATAATTAATTTTTATTATTATTATTTTTTTATTTTATTTAACGGTCGGGAAATAAGTTTTTCACATATATTCGAACATTATAGATAAACAAAATTTGCTTTTCCTTTTTAACATTAAACAATAACAATGATGATAATTAAATGATGATAATTTTTTTTTAAAATAAATAAATAATTTAATTAATTAACTTTATAAAAACGTTTTAATTTTTTTTCTCTTTTTAAAATGTGTTTAAATTTATTATTATTATTACGTTTCCGTTAAAAAATATTCGATAAATAAAACGAAATTTTTGTTTTTTTGAAATTAATACACGAAAATTCAAAATTGTTTTGTAATTGTAACGTACATTACGTTTGAACATCAAACGTTGCATGTTTTACGATTCCGGTCGTGAACGAAAGCAAAATTGGCGCGATTTGCTTCCGTTCATTGTTTTTTTGTTCCATTCTTTCTAGAACACGTTTAAGAATTTCGTTATTTTTCATTGTGTTTTATCCGTGCGTGTGTGTTTATAAAATTTTTTTTTTAAGGAAAAAAAGAGTGGAAAAAATAAAAAGTAAACCATTTTTATGAACAATTATTATTATTATAATTATAATTATTAATTTTAATAACGAAGAAATAATAATTATTATTAATATTAATCTTTTTTAAAAATATTCATTTATATTTATCTTTTTTTTTCTTTTTGTAATCTAAGAAAATAATTAATTTTAAAATTTTTTTTTTTCTTTAATACTGATTTATATATATATATTTTATTTATTTATTTATATAAATTCATGTAGATAAAAACAAATAAAGTCCCGTTTTTTTTTTTTTTTTTTAAAACGGGATTCGTTTAGCCTTTGGTCGTAGCTTTACATATCACATCATTTGTGTTAAAATTTTAGCACTTTATTATTATTATTATTAAGTGAATTGGTTTTTATGTATAACCATTTGTTCGTATATGAACAAAAAACATATAGTCGTGCGTGTGTAATAATAATAATAATAATAAAATAATGGTGAATAGACGACTATCGATAATTTTTATAACTGACATTTGATTCGGTGTCATGAAGAGAAGGAGGAGGAAGAGGAGCCATTATGTTGGATGATGTTTTATGGCTGTCGTTTAAATCATCTTCGGATTCTGTAAGAGCAGCCAATTGTGCTGTTTGTTCGCTTGGTAAATGACTCAAATGTGTGGAATCACTTTGCAATGTGTTCATGTCTCCCTGATCGCATAAATTTGACGTGAGGGCTTTTCTTTGTATTGCTTGAACGAAACTCTGCAACACACAAATCAAGGTCAATTGTACAGGTAATAAAAAAATTATGTAATTGTTTTTAATAATGATAATAATACCTGACTAATGACATCTCCGTGAGCCGTTCGAACTTGATAAAAATATCTATATTTTTTTTGTCTCATTTCAGCTCTTTGTTCTCTCGTTCTCACCCTTTGAACCGGTGTATTTTTGGAAGGCATCACTGGATAAAATAATAGTAATAATAATATTGATGATGTCATCGTAAAATCATAGCAAAAACAAGTGACTTACTTTCTTCGTGGTGTATACCAATTCCAGTTACAGTGAATTGTGTTATGAGACCGACGATTACCATAAAAGGCCAAATTGAAAGAAGCAACCAGCTAAACCAGCAGGGTTGAAAATATTCTCTTAACGCTAATCTACTCCATATCCATTGTAACATTTGTAATTTTTCAACGAAATAATCTAAGGATACCGAAATAATGGCTCCTCCGTAAACGCTCGTACCAACTATCGTCAAACCTAGAAAGAAAAAATGTACCGTTAATCGCCGTTCATCGTTTTAAAAATTGAAATATTGTAAAAAGTTAACTGTAGCAAACCTTTTTGCCAATATAAATTTAATATGGCAAAAAGTAGGCCACCCGATAATAATATTCCAGTAGTCATCCAAACGCTTGTTATTTGACTACATTGTTCGGCAACAACAACGGCAACCACGGCACCGAATAAACCCGTGTGAAAACCGGTCATGAAAAGACCAACGTATTGTACTAACATTGTTATTAATCCGAATAATATTCCAGCCGAAATGGCTACTCCTGGAAGCAAAGTAAAACAAGGTAAAAATAAATAAAAGTCTTTGAAATAATTTTTTCCCACGATGAATTTATTTCAAATTTTTATTTAAATATATTACAGAACGTAGGCTTTGTTCGATACGACAAAAAGAATGCTTTATTAAAAAAAAAAAAAAAAAAAAATTTCTACAAAGGGTGAAAGGAAATTTTAAAAGGAAAGAAAATTACTAACCGTCTCTAACATGTCGCAAAGGTAAAAAAAAAATTAATTTTTTTTTATAACTCACCTGCATTTCCGTAGCTAGGCAACAATTTTTCTTGTAAGCATATCAAATAAACTATTATGGACCCGAATATAAATCCCGTAAGAAACATGATGGCTTTGAAACATCTGTAACCTTAAAAAAATTAAAAACATTTTTTTTTAAAATTTCGCATACGCATTACGTATTTACGCATTACGCATTTACGCATACGCGTGTACGCATACGCGTATAAATTTTTTTAAATTCGAAAGGTTTTCCAGAAAATTTATCCATTAGTTTTATGTTTGTGCAGTACTTGTACGTTCTCTCTCTCTCTCGCTCTCCGTTCGTTAAAAAACGTTTTTCAATCATATGATGAAAGAAAAGAAAAGAATAAAACTCGTGAAATAATAATAATAATAATAATAATAATAATAATAGTAATAATTGTAATGAACGCGGTGAATAACCTCACGTTGTGATTGGTTATCACAATTGTTTGCCATGCTATATATATATATATATAGCGTAAATAATTGTAATACGAGAATTTTTTTTTTATCTCTCTCTCTCTCCCCCCCTCTCTTTCTCTATCTGATATAGATTTCGTATTATCGAAAAGTTAACGAACCTTTTTTTTTTTTAAGGAAGGTTCCCTTCCGGTTTTTCCTTTTTTAATATCTCGAAGTCAATTTTTTTAAAGAATATCGACGACGAAACACGATTTTAATCAAACCGGAAATAAATAAATTAAATCGTTTCAACCTTGAAAATTTATTATTATTATTTTTTAACGTGATGGCATAACCTTTTTTTTTTAAAATTATTTCCTGTCGAATTTAAACGTTTAGCCCCCCGTTCTTCTCCCTCCTCCAAAGACCAAACACACGACTCGAAAATCTTATTGAAAATAATTGAAAGTTTTCCACATATGAATATTTATTATTATTATTATTATTATTATTTACTTTCGCTATTCTATATTCATCGTAGCATTACTAAACAAAACAAAAACAAACGTTGAAATTTTTTTTTCTCTCTCTCTCTCTCTCTCTCTCTATTTTAAATTCACTAAACCGTGTCATATATATTATTTACAATTATTATTATTATTGTCATCAAAGTTAGTTTTTTAGTTTTAGTTTGTCTCTGTTTTAGTTAACCTTCCGTATAAAACAATGAATTTAGGTAGTAGTATAGAACAATAATTCCGCCATTTTTAATTATTACCTCCTCACATCAATTCAATTCATATATATATAGTTTTAATTAATGGCGTCTCTCTCTCTCTCTCTCTTTTTTACACAGATCGTGTATAAATTATCATTTACGAAATTAAGAATTTTTTTTTTTCTTTTTTTTTCTAAAATGTCGTTCGGTAAGAAAATGAAAATGTATGATGACGTCACTCACCGAAAAAACTATAAATGATTCCAAAAATTAAATACATTGAGCAGATGGTCGCCATTACAACATCATATTGATAATCGATATGATGACATCGAAATTGTTCATCTCCTCCCGTTCTTGTCGGTATTGTATCGACTTCGTGATAAGTCGTCTGATTGTTTTGATTATTATTAATATTATTATTATTATTTACATTAATTATACTTATGTTGAGTATTTTTGTTGGCACGAGCGGACCTATTTGTATGACGTCCGCATCTGGCAGTGATGACGGAGATGTCTGTGACATATTTACTGTAACAAAAAAAATAATTAAATTATCGTAGTGTATGTACCACGTGACGTTAATGACGTTTTTAAAAAAAATAATTATTTGACCGGAAGTCATAGAATAAGTAAAAAAAAAAAAAAAATTACAATCGTAAATAATTTTTTACTATCTCTATGACCTTTATCTCGAATTTATTTTTATTGAATTTATTAAAGAACGATGATGATGATGATGATGATTAAAACCATAGTAATCTGTTGCGGAATTAACGACAGCAAAAACAAATTTCTTTCTTTTTTTTTTTTTTTTGTTTTATTTTTCCCCAGGTGGTAGAGGGTCGGTGGTGAGTTTTAATGAAATTTTTTTTCTGTGTTTGTGTGTGAGTGACGTCATTATTGAAGAAAATGGGAAATTTTTTTTTTATTTTATTTGTACTCCCGGAGTCAATGAACTCAAAAGAAAAAAAAATTATATATGGAGAAAGGCAAAAAGTAAAAATTTATTTCATTTCGATTTTATTATTATTATTATTATTTAAATTCTTTTCTCCTGCCACTTTGATTTGGCATTGTGACAACGTTCGAAAAAAAAAAAAAAAACATTTTTCTTTTCTCGTTTCGTCTTTCA